AAGGGAAGATCTGCCGCGTGATTTGCACCAATCCAGGATGGAACAACAAAAGTAAAATATCTATCCAAGCGATACTCCAAATGATACATGTACGTGAGTACAGAATTGTTGACCAATGCTCTAGCAGTCTTAATTGCTGGTGCCACGAATAAAGAATCGCCAATCATGTTGAGAAACATTCGCCGGTTTCTGTAGCGATCTGTGACGTTGTCCCAGTCGGTGTARCGGTAGAGTATGGCCTCGTTGATTACYTTGTGCTCAYTGCCTACCATCTTGCTCTTTCTTTCACGAAGAGCAGATATAAAGTCCGMTCTCTCGAAGCCATTGGTGACGTTGAAAAATACAAGTCCTGCTCCTGATAACGAACAAAAATACCGATCGATCGATATGCRAGGTTCAAGAATGTAGACTTTTCATACCTGTTATAGCGTTAGTTATGACATTTCCTTCGTCGTTACATGAGCCAATCATGATTTTAACRTCAGTTTTCTCCCTTTGGTACAAAGCTTCGGGAGAATCTGAATTCATTGAAGAAAGAGAGAGAGTGACGATAACAAAAACAAATGATTAAATGTTCCAATCAAAAAATATAACTAATATTCATGGAATGATGGAATAAATGATCGAATCAAATGAATCGACAGTAAAGAGTTGATTACTGCACAAGAGGATGAAATATCACGCGTACCAGCAGGGAGAAATGATCCACCTACGACGGGTGGAAAAAACCATCCAGTTTTAAGTGTCTTTTTCACAATTTCAGCTATTTCTTGGACACTCTTCGTTTTCATGCAGTTTGAGAACGTCTTGATATCATTACATCTGAGATCTTTGCCTATTGTCCTTCAAATAAACAAATCAATCAGTCAAGCAAGCATGAAATTAATCAACTAAGCAATCAATCAATCAAAACTTCAATCAATCGATCAATCAATTAATCAATCAATTAATATATCAATTAATATATCAATCAATCAATCAATCAATCAATCAATCAATCAATCAATCAATCAAACATTCAATCAATGAAACCATTGCACAAGATACCAATTTGGTTACTTTGCAACTTGAAGAGCCTTGCTGTAGCTGGTATGCGCCCATAATGCAGTAGTAGCACCAGATTGTATGATGGCATGACGGAAAAGTCCTTTAGCCTTTGGAGATAGCACAAGGGTATTAACACTGGCTCCTCCAGCAGAAACACCAAATATGGTGACTTTGTTAGGATCACCACCAAACCTATAAAACACTTAAGTGGTCAGCAGAGTACAGGATGATAACCCAAATCATAGTTTGCACTGAGGTGTTTATATTGCAAGTTTTCATCGTCAAATTCTGTTTGTACATCAGTAATTATTGTAATTATATTCAGTAATTATATTCAAATTTATTAACCGCAGAGACAATATCACGCAGCTGGGCGTCTGTCACGACAAAGTATATAACAGATATAAACTCTTTATAGTGGTCTTTCTAACCCAATCTTCTCCTCAGTACTCGGAATAATTATCCCTGCAGATCCCAAAACACGAACGATCAGTGTATATATGATCCCAATTTCTAGGGTATTGATCCAAATCTGATCCCCGAATAACACACACCTCTGATGATCCWATTACCTCTAATTTCACCTTACTTGTCAATGTTTTCTTTGACCCACTTTAAWCCAAAGACTTGATCCAGCATTCCATAGTTTCCCGGCAGGTCACCGTCCTTTCCAGTTGCCAAGAAGCCAAACACATTAAGTCTATAGTTGATGGCTACGACGATGACATTGCCAAGCGAGGCCATGTAACTGAAATCGTTATTTCTGTTCGATCCCAAGATAAACGCTCCTCCATGGATCCATACCATGACATGTAGTGATGAGTCTGCTCCTTCAGGGGCTATAATATTCAAATTCAAGCAATCTTCGCTCATCTCAGTAATCGGGAATCCTACGTTTGTTGGTTGTGGACACATTTTTCCTGTGTTGTTTACATCTTTGAGGTCAGTCCAGGGTTCTGGGTCCGTGGGTTTGCCAAATCGCTCTGCTTTAGCGAAAGGTATACCGAGATATTTTCTGATGGCACCACCGGTATTGAGCTGGGTGACAATACCTCGTATTGGACCACTTTTGATTCTTATCACGGGTGTGTATTTTATAGCTGTGGCCTTATTTAACAGAATGCAAAGGAAAAGAGACGAATACAGTRAAAGTGACTTCATCTTGGAGCTCTCAAAGAGTCGCGTGTTGTGATGCCTCTGTCGGCGCGCAGTAAGCCGTATAAAGCATATAATATATATTGACCTCTTTGTAAATAAAAGTGTAACGAAATCCCAATAGCATTGCTTGGATATGTCACGCAGAACAACAAACGTTGTCAAATAATAATAATAAAAAAAAAACAACAGCCAGAACTAAAAAAGATGAAAAGAAGAAGCAATTCTTCTAAACAAGCTGTAATACCATCGCGCGAGCTGCATTCTAATTTACTATTCGGAACGTGTAATTGCGCTCAACATTAATTAGAATATTTACTTCGTTAATTAAATAATTGTCGTGCTAATTGTTCTGGAAGCTCTGTGCGCTAATAGATTGATGATTCGTTTATTACGTACTTTAAACGACATCAATTTCCATTCTTGGCGAGTGAAGTTTTAGGAGGAGCTAAGACGCATGGACRATAGCTGCGTGCAGTCGATTAATATCGAGGAAGATGAAGAGCCTTTATTTTGCTACATGTCCAACCTTAGCGCAGAGCTTATTTATCATTTATTTTCATTCGTGGACTCTACATCGATAATGCGCACGACTCAAACATGTAAGCGGCTGCACGATACCATCAAATACAACGATCTCTTGTGGAAAAAGCTCTGTCAAAGAGACTTTGGCCTTAATCTTACGCTGAAGAGGCCTTTTTCTACYGTGTACGATATCTATCGCTTGCAGTACATGGCAAAAACAGTCTTAAACATCTATCTTTCCGAAAGGTTTTTCAATTCTCCAAAGTATGGAAATCTTCCTGGATGGCTTTGGACTTGGGTTGTGTTAAACACGTGTGCGCCACGCCTTCCAAGATGGATAGCCAATCACAGAGAACCATACATGAGAATAAAACTGTGTGAATTACCATTGGGGCGGATCCGAAACACGTGGAACTTAAGCCAACAAGATTTATCGCATTTYATACCGACGAGATTCGAACGAGGGACTGTTTATTACTCGTGGAGAGATGTACATCGCGCTGCTGTGAGGAAGCTTGGAAGCCAAGAGAAACTCGTGGAGTTTTTTCTTAAACGTTGCTCACGTGCCAAAAATCATGTGGAAAAGAATTTTAGAATTTTGAGACGAAAAGAACCAACTGCACCAGTAGTGCCCATGAGACCGGTGACTGTAACTATAACATCTGTACCAGTGCTAGCCAATGGTATACCAGGACGGTTTTTCGCRTATTCATTGCATTAGGGTGAATAGGGGGAAACCCCAAGGCGCAGGGAAAAACCACGTTGAATGGAGATACAGAGTCCATTGCCTCCAATGAACGAAAASTCTTASGTGTTGGGCATTCATATCTGATATGATGCGTGGCGTTTATGCGACAAAGTGGATTCATTTCCTTTCATGCGAATGATAAGCTTGGAAAGAAAAGTCGTTGGTACTAAATGAAAACCTGGGTGAATAAAAATATGAATATTATATACTTGGTCTCTGTGGAATATAATTAAGCCTAATACAATCCAATGTCTATACTTAAAGCTTATAATAATTGTGTGCCTAAAACTAAACTGGATAATTTTGAACCCTAGCATTAAACGCGAACGATTTCATCGCAGGTCGCTTTTTCAACTTGTCACAAACGCTTTCGTTACATTTAAAGATTTCTTTGGATCTCAATAGATTCCGCTACAGGTCTTACGTTACATGATTGCGTGTTTCACAACAAATATTTCCTTMACGAAAGAGTGATTGATATCATGTAAATCGTGCTTTATGATGCATATCCAATCGTGGCATCGGCGCTAGTGCAGAACTAGGACTTTTAGACGTACAGCATAAGATTGGAAACTATAAGATGAAGCTATCGTTACTGTATAATTTTTCTCTCCTTTGTGTTCTCTTGGATAAAACAACAGCCACCCAATATACACCCGTGATAAGAATCAAAAGCGGTCCAATACGAGGTATTGTCAGYYRRCTCAATACCGGTGGTRCCATCAGAAAATATMTCGGTATACCTTTCGCTAAAGCAGAGCGCTTTRGTAAACCCACGGACCCAGAACCCTGGACTGACCTCAAAGATGTAAACACTACAGGAAAGATGTGYCCTCAAATTAATCCCGTACCTTCTGCAGTGGATGAAAATTGCTTGAATTTAAACGTGTTTGTCCCTGARGGAGCTGGTTCTTCACTGCCTGTAATGGTATGGATTCATGGAGGAGGGTTTATTGCTGGCAGCAATGAGGATGGCAGTTACCTAGCATCGCTTGGCGGGGTCATTGTAGTAACTATCAACTACAGGCTTAGCGTACTTGGGTTCTTGGCAACTGGTAAGGAAGCGGGCGACCTTAAAGGAAACTATGGCATGTTGGATCAGGTTCAAGCGCTGACTTGGGTCAAAGAGAACATAGAAAAGTAAWTAAAAAAAGGAATTCAAATTATTATCAAATTAACGTAAAAGCATTCCATATATAATTTAATTTCCGTAAAAGATATTGTGCGCATTTCATATGCATTCTTTTCCTATTACGGTTAGATTTGGAGGGAACYCTAATAATGTGACCATATTTGGAGAATCTGCTGGAGGTGTCAGCGCATCTATTCTTGTTGTATCACCGCTGGCTAACGRTCTTTTTCACAATGCAATTCTTCAATCTGGTGATTCGACTGCATCAATTTGGGCTTACAAAACATACAGCCAGTCACTGGAGACAGCAAGGTATGTAGTCATTGAAGTATTTGGGACGATTCGCACATTGCAAAACAAAGGAAAATATAAAGGGATAAGTTGAAAAAAATCCCTCTGGGGATTTAAGGTAAGCAAAACCAAGAGCAATAGACCTTATTTTCCGCACAGGTCATTGTTTGCAATAAAAGGGTTTTTAATACTGCTTTTTTCCTTATCAGACTAGTTGYCAAAGAGAGTGGATGTCTAAATATTGCGTCCTTAGCTGACTGCCTGAAAGGAAAGACAGTGAAAGAGATTGTAGATGTTTCTGCAAAGGTGTCCCTTACTGAACGATTACCGGTCTTCAGGCCCGTCATTGATGGATCTCTTCTGCCAGGTAGATRAAAATGGATAAACTCGACATCTAGTTTTACAGATTATTGGCCGCCATCTTGAATTTCATTGTAGTTTAAAGGGAATCATGGGATGGCTTGAATAATGTTTGGATGGCTTAGAGCATTTATCGGGGTGACGAACTCTCGGTGATTCAATTGTTCCTCGCATGTGCAACATACCCCCCCCCCCCCCCCCCCCCCCCCCAAACCACGTTCCCAGGGTAGCGAAGGGAAAAGGAGGGAACGCGGTTCCCCCCCCTCCTCCCCCCCAAAAATGCATTTTTTTGGAACGTAAAATTTTAAACTTTATGTGCATTTTTTTTTCTCGTTTGTTGTTGGGCAGCGCGCGCGTCAAGCATCTAAACCCGTGAAAGATGATAAGGAGCGTTTCTCTGATAGATCATCAACCCAGTTTGTTCTTTTACAGATGTTCCCGACTCTCTTCTCAGCGATGGGAAGTTCAATAAGGTTAATATAATGCTAGGAATAACTGATGATGATGGTTCTGCCTTGGTTTCACATGTACCAGGTATGTGAATGAACTGGCGCATGCGTACTGGCGAAATCTGTCCATGTGTTGTTCAATTTCTTTAGTTTGTTCCCGGTACCGCAACACGTAACAACTATTTTTTCTGTATTATTTCAGGGTATTCTTGGGGGCCCGATGTATCCAAAGGCGTCACTAGAGACAATTTCACAAATATGGTTCTTGGCGAAAAAGCAGTGAAACTTGTAAACGATCAAAATAAGGTCATTAGTGAAGCCATTCTCTACCGCTATACGGACTGGGACAACGTCACATATCGTTATAGAAACAGGAGAATGCTTCTCGACATGTACACCGACAGCCTTTTCATTGCTCCAGCGATCAACACAGCGAAATATCTCGTGAAGAATACCATTAAGACCTTCTTCTATCAGCTGCAGTTTCGATTTGATTTCTTAACTACCCTCCCTGTTCCACGGTGGTTAAGAACGTACCATTCAGCTGACGTGTTCATTATTTTTGGTCAGCCTTTTAAGCAAGCACGTCTTAACAATGGGTCAGTACACACTAGGGATGCTAATTTTAGTCGAAAGATGATAAAGATGTGGACCAACTTCGCGAAAACTGGGTAAGACTGCTTCTTGTTTCGATAAAGCTTCTAACGGACGGCAGCCATCTTGAATATTGTTGCTGCCAGGGTAATAAATTATGGGATAGGGAGACAAGCAAAATTTCAACCTTGGGTTTATTTGAAGTTGTACACACTTAAACATTTCGTATTTCTTACAACAGGGATCCCAATAAACCAGCCGACATCGGTCCAGTGTGGCCACAGNTCGATGCCTAAACCTTGGCAACCTCCTGTTGACAGCAGTGGTTCTACAGTCATAAGTGGTAAGCAATAATCTCTGGATCSTTAAGTTAAAAAACAGCATTTCTTAAAAAACAGCTTTAGAGATTAGATTAAAACATGATGTACTTGTTTTTTTAAAAACAAATGCAGTTAAGAGTTTAAACAAACTTTTTCTTATACGCAGGTGTATTCATGGCTCTCGTTCTACCTTGGTTTGTCTTGAAGGCGTTCCAAGCCACATAAAAAGCACTCTCTTTAACCTATCAAAAGCGAAAAGAATGATCAAGAGTGTTTCTAATGGCTACATAATGTGAATGAAGCTTCGTCGAAACGGCGTGGCAAAATATCGGCTAATAAAATCAAAACTAAATACTGACAAATAACGGCTATTTAGAGACAATTTGTCACTATCAATGAACCAGAACACAATGAAGATGAATCTACATGGGATCATTTTCAATTTCGATTAATTCATCTTGATTGCGTTCTGGTTCATCGAGACAGTTGTTCTCTAAATAGCCTCTATTTGTTAGTATTTGGTTTGATTATTTATTTCATGGTTTTCCTGCGTTTGCTCTATGTAATACTTTTTTATTATGTATGTTATATTTGTCGGTCAGTCCACCTTAAAATAACAAACGTTTTACAGCAAAGATTCAGATCAGTTCTTTTTTTTAATATTGCAGTTATTAAGGTTAAAAAACAGGAATTACAATTTTACGTAGTCAAAAGACGTAAGTGCCAGTATTGGCTGATGTTTCAAAAGCTATAGACGCTATACGAAAACCATTAATTCGGCTGCAATAGAAATAATCACAAATACAAGCGCTGTGAGATTCGAAAGTAAACTGCTTTTCAACTATTTCAATTTGAATGGGTTATTTCCGTATTGATTCTGTTGATTCCTCAAGACTTCCATATATGTCACTTGAAACTGCATGCATTACTTTCCAATACTATTTCCCTTTCAAAGTCGATGTCATTTTCGTGTTTCAACTTAAAAAAACATTGCGTTATCAGTTTTGACGATATTCATGATCTCTGCTTTCTGTAGAAATAGGTCGTGTTTTGAAAAGACCTGAAGATGCGTTTGATTGTTTTAACCGCATTTATACTGATGGTCCATAAATGTGYCTCGCAAGATGTCCTTTCCAAGGAGAGCAGCTTTTTCGTTGGCGATCCTCGGAATTGCAAACTAGCCCAGTCTGCTAACAGAATGGAAGTCCTTCCTGGAGTAGGATGGGATAACCTCGAGAATCTTGAMAAAAGCCAAGTGTTAGCAACGAATTATTCAAAGTGTCAAACCACTGCTGATGGAAAATACTTAMTACCCGACCACGTCTTTGTTCTTCCGGTCAAACGGAGTAAAGTTGAACTGTTTTCTGAAATGTTTGACCACTGGAGGGATTATAAGAGCTCAACAGCAAAGTCAATCAACATTGSAGCACAGTTCTATTCCGTCGTAAGTGGCTCGTTTTCGGCAGAGTACCAATACAACAAAGAACGACAAGTAAACGACAAWTCGTTCACTACTCGAGTGTCCGTGAAACATCTTCTGTACACCGTCAAGTCCAACCCYGATGCACCTTTAAGCAGACCTTTTCGGAATCGTTTGATGGAAATTGCATCAAATATCCAAAACAACAAAACCGACCTCGCATGGTATCATGCGCAGCTCTTGATACGGGACTTTGGAACCCACTACACCACAAGCGTGGACGCTGGGGCTGCACTTATAAAAGAGGACCATATCAAGAGCAGTTTTCAAAAGGATATGACMAAGTCTTCCACTGATATCACAGCGGCAGCCAGCCTTTCMTTCCACGAGAAGATTGGACTTMAAATAGACGCGAAATAYAAAACAAGCCAGAGTTATCTCAACCAGTACATAGGCAATCAGACAACGTCTCAGATWTTAACGGTCGGTGGACCAGCGTTTGGTGCCAACTTTACCATAAATGAATGGGAGAGGGGMATTAATAATGAACTTGTTCCTGTCAATCGTGATGGTGACCTKCTTCACTATACCATCAACACTGCAACTCTTCCTGGTCTTCCTGTGCCAACTATTAGTCAYGTGGCTCGGCTAGTAGAGCAAGCCATTTCTCTTTACTACAAGGTTAATACTCTGCCTGGATGTACTGACAGCTCATCGTCAAACTTTTACTTCCAGGCAAACATTGATGACGGTAGCTGTCGACATCCATCGATTAATTATACCTTTGGTGGTGTTTTCCAGAAGTGCGACTCTTTATCAACTGGAGCCGGCGACTTGTGTGAAAAGCTGCGCCAGAGAAATCCACTTACAGGTAATTTGCCGCCATTTTGGACGTGTTCGCGTGTGACTTATGATAATCAGGGTCCGTGCAGAATATCAAAAACCAAATTTAAGGACTTTTCAAGGACCAAAATTGTATTTTCAAGGAGCATCAAAATCATGCTAATTGTACATTCTTACCTCGCAACTTCAGCCGAACGGAATAATGTTTTTTTCAAGGAGTTTTCAAGGACTTTTTCGAAATTTTCAAATTTTCAAAGAGTTCCAAGTGCCTTTGAAAACGAGTTTTCACTAATTCAAGCACTTTTATCAAGGATCAAGGATTTAAGGACCTGCACGGACCCTGAATAATAACATGCCGCCAAACGTCGCAACAAGATTCAAAAGCGCGGGAAAAGTACGTTTTATATTGCATTATATTACGAACCAAATGATTCTAATCAAATCACATACCGTTTTTTTAGGTGGCTTCAGTTGCCCTAAAGGGTACGAACAAGTATTGCTGATCAGACCCGGGGGGCGCAAACCAATCATATCGAAGTCATTCCACAAGACCAAGTGCACACAATCATGCCACAAATGTGGATTCCTTTGGATGAAGACGTGTTGCAAAAACTTTTGTGAAAATGTCTTGCACTACAGCCAGGCAAAGTACGATACGTTCTGGTGCGCGGCTAGAGGCAACATGCACCCTAGCACGGGTTACCTCTTTGGAGGAGTCTACTCGACGAACACTCCTAATCCTCGTACGGGATCTCAAAATTGCCCCAACCGATTCTACCCAAGGGCACTTGGRGGCCACGCCTATGTYTGCGTCAGCGACGATTTTGAGCTTGGCTATCAATACTCCTTGAAATTTGCAGGGTTTTTCAGTTGTAGCGCGGGAAATCCGCTAGGGATACCCATTAGAAATGACTCATTATCATTGACAGAGCGTTCAAGTCAGCTTGAATTGTTCTTGGCGGAAGGAGATGGGGAAAATGTTCGGACGTCTTTTTCYGGTCCTAAGCACTGTCCCCATGGATACAGTGAACACCTGGTTACCGTTGACAAYGAGTGTGAAATCAACTACTGCATCAAAGCCAATTCGTTCAAAGATCAAAAGCTTCACCCAGTGAAAAGAATGCCGTTTTCTCCAGCACCAGGAACCAATCCAAACACAACCGATGCYATCCTGATCGTYGGRGTCAATGGTCAAGTATGGTACAAAAACTTGACGACAGGAGACTGGGAGATGCGAGGTTTTCAAGCTGGAAAGTCYAACACTCCAAGTTCTGACCAACATTCTCACTCTAAAGAATCTAATTCCAGAAGGTTGTCAAATGGAGCTACTGCAGCAATAAGCGTTACTGTCACGTCTCTGATTTGTATCATCATAGCGGYCGCGTTCTTTGGCTTTAAGAAGCGACAAAAGTCCAAGGCACAAAGAGGTCTTCTKGATTCTTATGTTAACTCGGAAAGAAATCCTCTAAATCCTTCCGAGGAAAACTAATAAAGTTTCACACAATGAAAAAGCACAAAACGTGCAGCAATTTAAAAAAATATTTTCGCTGTAATGTACACTGATAAAAGGATGCATCTTTTTACATTTTATAAGCAATAAGGGATAAATTGCCATAGTTTGGGTATAAATCATTTGGCTTTGCCCAAATAATTACATTTTGGGACGTTTTGTTCATTCCAGAGGCTCAAACGTAGATACACTAAACACTAATAGAGTGAAAGATAGTGGAAAAATAGTACTAAATAGTGATGATTAGACAATTCAGAAAGCAAATAAAAAAACACTATTAAAATAATTAGTTATTTTTTTGGTATTTTCACTCTTTAATTGTAAAATTTGTGTTGATGATACAATAAATATTGACATGAGTTATGTACACATTTAAGTTTTATCAAGAAGAGTTCCACGTGGCTTCTTTCCGAATCCATCTTTTACGTCCTACAGAAACACATAAGTTGCAAACTATAAGATACACTGAAAAAAGGAGAAATCTTAACCTTGAAGCATAAAAGCATGCTTTTCATTTGTGCTGGGTCCATTTATTATTCAATCCTACTCAAGATGGTGGCCATATTTGGTGTGGTACATGTGCTTACCTGATCATGTGCTCGTTTCTGTGCTGTTGTTTTTCTTTCAAGTTGYTTCTCAATAATCTTTGCATTGTGTGAGTAGGAGGAAGCCACTTCATGCTATGTAAAAAATGATTTCTTAAGTATTATTTTAGAGTGCACGCCAAAAAATCGTGAAACAATTCTTAACTATCAACATCTAATAAGATTTAGTTATCAACTAACTAAGAATTCACTGGGTCATGAACACAATGCCAGAAAGGAAACTTGTCTTTGTTTATGCCTCACTAAATTCTTAGTTAGTTGGTTGATAACTAAATCTTAATTATTAGGCGCTAATTAGTTAAGAATTGTTTCATGCTTATGTGGCGTGCACTCTACTTGACAAATAAGTGGTATTTTATAGGAAATGGCCCAATGAATAATATCTGAGAATCATTTTGTCTGAGGGACATTTTTTCAAGGGTACACAGGATTAACTTGCCTGTTCAATTTCCTCTTCTTCTTCATCGATGGTTGACACYGTAACTGAGCCAAATTTTCCAAACTCTTTTGTTCTCTTGGTCATCATAACCTACAATACAATTGCTCACATGAATTATAGTATCACTGTGTGCTAATAATCTTTTTATATTATTTTTAAAATAAGTACAACATTGCTCTTTGTTCACTGTTTTTATGTCAATCATCATACATTTTCGGCATTTTTACCTTGTTGGATGTCTTTGCCTTTTGGTTAATTGGTGTTTTTTGTTCACTTTGTACAGTTGCACCTTTGAAATTATAATAATAAATGTGTTTGTCATTTTAACGAACTGTAAGTTATCAGTATAGCTTAGAGAGAATGGATGTAAATTAAATTTATTGGAGATAGCAAAAGGAACTACTAGTATGGTTGCAGTRTCTGGTGTAACAGAATCTCAATGATTAATGTAGCAATGGAGAAACTAACAGACTTGAGCTACATGAACATGTGAATATGTGGTAAAAGGWGAAAGATAGCTCTTCTTAAAAGTTTGCCACTTTTTCTTGAAGTTTAATAAACATGCTTCAAAAACTCATACATAATTAATGAGCTACTAGGCCAATAGAATGAGGCTCGAATCTTTATACCCGATAAAACACTCTCTCGTCTTTTAAACTATACTTACCATCCACTAAAAATGTTACATTATGGTCTTTCTTGGAYGGCCGATAAAATAGCCATAACCCACACCTGAGAAAATAAAATTTAGAAAAATATTTAAAGAAGTTCTGCGTAAATCATGTCATTATGAAACTGTACATGAAACAAGATTAAAACAATCAGTTTGATAATGATTCTAATAGAAAAATAAACGTACTTTTTGCACTTTTGCCTAAATTGTCTTTCAACACCTCCTTTTCTGAAATGAAAATGATTTACTTTAACTACSGATTTGATTAAAATACATAAGGGGAAATAAGAAAGTGTAATTTAGTTCACCTTCTGAGAAAAACAACATCCCCATCAACACTGTTGAGTTTGAATGCRTGTTTACTTGCRTCAATGACTCGTGCATTGTCCAGTTTTCTGAGAGGGAGTTTATCAATGGTACAATCTAAAAAGAATACCAAACTAAGTAAGTTGAAAGTTCATGTGTGGATAATTAGAGTTCATTTAGTTTTGAAGGATTAGTCTCTAATCTAAGGAGTTTGATTAATGTGACTGAAAGTTAGCCTTTAGCTGCTTGGGTTCGTATATTCATTTTAAATAAGACAGCTACAGTGGTAGAGCCAGTAGAGTTCCATTGTTTTTCTCTTTACAAATTAAAGAACATCAAGCCATCCTAGGAAAATCTATGGACACCAATGTTAATGCTGCTTTCAGTAATAAAATAAATAAATAAAGTATATAGAAAAAACTATAAACTTCCAGCATATTATCAATAAAGAAGGGAAACATTTTGGAGTTTAAAAAGTGAAGAAAGATTAAAATTTAGAAATCAACAAGGATGTCAGAGTTAAGCTTACAAGAGCTTATATGGGAGTTACATATCAAGAAGTTATATGGCTTGTCTCCTTACGATATGCYCTTAGAAATCTTCTGTCTATATTCAATATGAGAATTACCGTTTGCCCATATAGATTGRACATTTTGGAAACAAAATATATTCAATACTTTTTGTGATCATCCTTATATAACCTAAGTTTCAGACGTAACTTTGAAGTTCTCGGAATCGCAATCCACCAGTATAAATTGGAAAAACTTACCTAAAATCATGGCCATTTGCCCACATAAACAATAATAMACAAACAAMGCAGTATCATCCGCATTGTACTCCTCTTTATCTTTAGTATCGGAGCAAACRATACTTCGAGTTATAACTTTTGGCATCTTCGGAAAAATGGAGTATCAAAGCTTGAGCCGTTGTGACCAGCGGTACATGAAAACACAGGAAGCCCAATTTTACTGATTCACCGTATTTCAACAATGAACACAGAAAAACACGTGCACATGTTTTTATAAATATTTTAATACTGATAAAGAATTGGTTACAATCAATAACTCGAGTCAGTTCTCCAATATTCTACAACGACGTTTACAAACATATAATTTGTATTGACAATTTTTTTGGCCTCCTACGCGGCAGCATATTGAATTAATTTTCGGTTCTACATGTAATAAGCGCTGATCTTGTATACTTGTTGTTTATATAACTGTTGGGCTCTATAGAGTATAGTATATCAGCAGAATATTGAATATTGTACATGTTATATTTGTTTGACAATTAATCCACACCAGGCAATTGAAAGGGCGTCCCCCTACCCCTGGGGTAGACTACAGAATTTCTAATTAGTTTAAACGTTTCAAGAGCGCTAAATACCCAGGGTGYCAGGAGGGGTTGAGTTTCAATTGCCTGATGCAAAATTGTTTAAAATTTATTGACTGRAATCTCACTTGTGCATGAATACAATTCTATATAATAAACTCCTCAGAGATTAACATTTCAACCAAGAGTCTACATGAACGGAGAGATTCATTTYAAGTCAGATATATTTTGACACGCTGCATAATTTGACTGCGACATATCGGACATTCTTTGATTGTCGATGAGCACTCGAAGCAGCAGCAAACGTGGCCACAATTCAGCAACACTACATTGGACTGAAAAAGATGAAAGGGAAAAATAAACAAAAAACAAGCAAAAGGGCCTTATCAAACCAGCATACAAAAAAGGGTCGTGGCTTGATTTATTCACATACGGAATAACCTTAATTGTTTTTTTTTCTTTAATGATGTTATGTGTGTTTTGGCGAAGTGCATCATGGTATTTATGAAAGTATCAAGATGACGTCACACAAGGCGAGGTTCCGTGTCCGTGCGGTGTGTTGCTCGTGCCGTGATTCGCGAAATAAGCTTTTGCCTACGCAAGATTGCTATCGAATCAACACCAAGCTTACCCTCCTATCCATGCAGATAACGCATTCACTGTACACAGCTTGTCCTGTAGGTCGAAGGAGTGGAGCTTCTTGTGGTGGTGCTGASGGTGTCGGATGGACAGGCTCAGGTTCCTTTAAGAAACAAGGAAATAGAGGTTTAGAGAAGAGAGGAACAAGACGAAAAGATAAAGGAAGCATTGAATGACAACAAACAAGCAAAAAACATGRCMATAAAGTTATGAYCGACGAGGATTAAGAAGATTGACAACCACAAGTACATATCAACACGCATTCATATTTGTCATTATTCACCTTYGAAGTTTTTTCAAGTTCTTTCTCTTTGTCTTTGGCTCTCTGRTCTGTCCKTTCYCTTTCCTCGACAGCTTCCAAGATGGCYTTSCGAATACCTACTTCGCGCAATCCCATCTGAATAAGACACAAAAGTTCAGTCAAAGAAGGCAATTAGATAATTCATTTGACATGTGTAAAATCATAAGAACTATACCTCTTTTAATTCATCAGTAGACATATTCTTCAACATTTTCCATGTWATRCGATGTCTGGCAAACAASGCAACATAGTCCTCTGCWCCGGCATCTCTTAGGACCTCAGAGACCTCAGGATCGCATTCTCTTTCCAGTAGGCTGGCTGGTTTGTTATCAAGTAGGCGTTGGTACTGGATCAACCAGTAATCCTCGATATCTGACTCGCGTCTGTTTTCCATTTCAACCTGAAAGTGTAATGTCAACATTATGGACACCTCAACATCACGGGCATAGTGCCTGTTACTTAATGACGACCTCTATATCAATTATTGAGACCTATACACTACGAACTACATTACGGACAAATTTTTCCCATGTCAAGAACACAAACGTTCATAAAAAGGTCCCATATTGTACACAAATGTTGTGTCTGTTTTARGATTTTTCCCTTACCAATCTATCCATGAGTTCCTTCTCTCTCTTTTCTTGTTCCATAATCAGCTGTCCAAGCAAATTTGATAATTCTCCACGCTTTGCCTTTAACACAGCCTACRACAGCAAATGACAGCGAACATACTAARTATYTTGGTTGAGTTACCAYGTACTAAAGAATTAGTAGACGAGGCCACAGGGAAGCACATATAACAGCCTTATATTATGAACACTKTTACCTTTTCAATGTCTTGCCTTTCTTCTCTTTTGTCCACCTCGATCATTGTCAGTTGTGCCAATTCATCTTCCAAAATTTTGATCTAAGACCATATAAAGAGGTATTAAATGGTAGAAGGTCCCAGGAGAAGCACCCTCCCCCTACTATCTGGGATTCTGCTGTCATCCAACATGGAGGAAGAAACATTGAAGCATTAAAACAAGGAAAACTCAATTCAACGACGGATCATACCTGTCCTTTCAGTCGACAGTGTTTTGTGTCTTGTTGAAGCTGAAGGGCCTGTATTGCACGCATCTGAGCCAACGCCTACAAGAATCAGACTGGTGAGTATTCATCACATGTGACCTGGCGCAGGTACCCAAACAGAATCCACAAAAGCATAAAAAGAGGTGCGATAAAACTAAGTTACCTCGGTAGAAAGACGTGATTCCAAGTCTTTCTTGTCCCTGTCCTGTTCTGTCAACGTGTCCCATACATACAGGTTGGCCTCGGCTTCACTATTAATAAATAAAGGCATTACAGACATAATAATGCATACAGATGATCTTCAGACTCGTTCCCAGCCGTTACTCTTCTAATTCTCTGGCACGCGAAAAGGATCAAGGGAAGTCGGACTTCCCTTGATGCAACGCGACCCGTAAAACGAGCAAGAGAAACGACTGGGTACGAGTCTGGATGATCTTTTGTGATGACCATGAACATAATACAGTTATAAAACAATGATAGGCAAWAGGAAAACAATATAAGTACCTTTCCATGGCTTTTTTCRCGATGTCATCACGWGATGAYTGATATTCACTCACCAACCGATCTTGACTTTCACGYGAAGCAAGCAGCTTTGCCATGGATGCTAACAATGTGACAAAAYAACAGATTTKTACACAAATTACTAAACAAAYGAAGGGCGGATYCAGGAAATTTTGTAGGGAGGGGTGCAGGACACTCAGGAGGGGGTGCRMTCMATAAAAGGATCACAAATGAGACACAAATTAAGAGAAAGTATTGAAGGATACACGGTCTAAGAGAAGGGACAGAAAAACAGAAGATAAACAAAAAGATACCTAAGACTTCTTCGCGTCGAAGCTTTTCAGATTCTTCTGTAGTGACCTCAACTAATTGATCAAGTTCCATTCTGTGAAGCAATTAAATCAAATGAGCATCCCATTCCATTCATGTTATTCAATAAGACAGTATTTACCTTTCCTTTTCCATCTTGTCTAAAATTGCATCCTTGCTGTTTTCTCTGGAGAATAAATGAATAAAAGATGAATACACATGCATAAAATTGAATTCAGTATTAGYCTCCTCCGAAGATAACTTCTCTCCACCTGTGGAGGAGGCTCATTTAGTACACCCCATCACATTTTTATCAAGGATGTGTTTTCATCATGCGTACCTCTCATTGATTTGAAGAATCATTGCTACCAAGTCATTATGTTGAAGTTCATCTAGTAAATTAAAAACAGAAAACTTAGAATATAAACTCCCTCAGTTTTATAATTGACACCCATGGGACTGGGAACAACTTACTGGAGGCCATTACAGCATTCCTRTTCTGACGCAATGCATCTTGTTTACTTTGCTGCCAYAGTATATCATTGTCCATGTCTGCTTCAGCCTGTGCAATATCAGAGAAACTTTGAGACTTTTTACCTTGACAACATCTGGACATTCATGTACCATGTGCATTATTATACCTTTAGAAAGATCATTTACCTGACGGATCTTATTTACYAGATCCTCATGTGACTTAGAAGCTCTGTCAGCTAGCAGTTGCTGCTCGCTGTCTAACTCYTTCATTTGCTTTTCTAATTCAGCCATTTGGTCTTTTTTGTGATCCTGAATAAAAACAATGGAACATTGTCAAACACTGTGAGCTGCATGCTGTTCAAAGCCCACTTGAATTCAAGAATCTTCACTGTGATTGTTTATACTTTGCATTGAAATAAAAAAATATGTTGTTGAAAGTCGCTTTCTGATTGGTTTAAAATCAAAGATGGCGATTTTTTTGAATGAGAAAATCAAGGCAAAACAAGGCAATAGGTTCTTGGATGCAAATGGGCCTATTTGGTGAAATGTAGGTAATATGATTGCATGTTGCAAGGTTACACATAAGTTTAATGCAAAATTAATGTTAAACCATGCAAAGATATTTCATGGCCCAGCTGATTTTCAGCCAGAGATTGGGTCCTGGAATCCATTCCCATCAATCACAGTGAATATAGGACCCTGGACCCAGATGAAAAATCATGCTGAACATTTCAAGTTGTATTAGAAAATCAAGATTTTACATAATATTTCAAGGACCACATATTGGCACGATCCTGAAAACAATACTTTTCCATCTCTTTATGTTTTATTAGGCAAAATTAGACAGCAAAAAAWTMGAATTAGACATCCCCCTGCCCAAGTCATCTTTACAACAAGGCCACAACTGAGATTCAAAATGCCCTAGTTGTAAGGATAACTTAGACAAGTTTTATGAAATGGCAGTAAGCAATTGATGCCGTGCCCTCTAAATCAGTCTTCAGAAACATTTACATGGGACACACTAGATAGTTATCATTGATTGTATTTTATAGGTAGAAATTAATATAATTTAATTGATTATCTCAAAAAACTATATGGCTTAATATACATAACAATATTGTTGTTGTTGTCTCGAGGGTGCTGACTCCATTATACTATTCTAAGTATATCATCAATTACCAATAATGTATTATGTATTATTATAATTATACTCAATGACAATTCAAATTAATTCAACAGCGCCTTTTAATGATGACAACATACTTTCAAGACATATCATAATTACTATTTTTACCTAGTTTTTACCTAAATCAAAGATTTATTTAAATTAAAGCTATACAGATTAAATTTTAGACTTATCAGTTTCAGTTCTTAAATTTATTGTACTTTTGTTTTAATAATAATTTCTAAAATAATTATTTTAATATCATTAATTGTTTTTTTTTTAATATTATGTTACTTAAGCTGCTTTGACTTTATAATTTTTCATTTCCTTATTTTCGTTCATTTTCATTCRACATTCAAAACACACACACAGGAAAAAAAATGTACCAGCAAGTTCTAACCTTTTCTAAATCATGCCGATGCAAAGTTTCCTACAAAATAAAACCATTTAACCCCATAAAAGTAAAACATCATTTTTACAAAGAAAATATTCTCATTGATAATGAAGTATCTACTTTTTTATCTACTAGTTATGATATCTAATATTACAATCATATGTGACTGCATAATATTTTTAATATAATATCTTAAATTACATTATATACATAAAACATTCTATATATTGTACAACTAATTAAACTAATCTGTCATTAATATTCAGATGATTAATAGATTCAATATTTTAAACTATCAATCAAATACAAACTTAATGTATTTTTGTTGATTCTGATTACTTACTTCAATAGCTTTATCAATRACAGATGTATCGCTACTTTGAAATCCGGATTTACTGTCATCTAACACAAAAGAATTCATTATTTAGCTCATTATTATTAGCATRTAATCAATTGAAGCAAGCAATTGTACAACACACATGTACAATATTATATGCGTGTGTTTGCATTAACAGACTTTGACAAAATTAATTTATCTATTATTCTTTGCACATCCGATGTGATTTGGACCTTCAATATTACAAGTCTTAAATAAAATATCAGTTGTATTAAAATAACATTAATGCTGTACATACTGATAGCTGATACAACTTGTTTTGATGATGGCATAAACTCAATTCCAGCACCTAGCGAAACAACAAGTACAAAAAWTAACATTAACATCATAATATGTACTAAAGTATTTGTATGAGTGTTGATGCTTACATTGACTTAGGTACTTGAGGATAGCCACAGTTCCTTGACTTGTGATGTCTACAGAATATAATGTATGYAAAATTATTAGCTTAGAACTTACTTAACATCAAAAGTATAAGCAATATTAATCCTAACAGGAAATGATTACCAAACATTTATAACTGACCTCTTGGTGGAACAGTAATGACATGATTGTCTAATAGGATTTTCTAAAAACAAAAAGCAATTTTAACAATTACATTTAATTATGACAATATGCATAAATCTTTGAAGAGAAAAACCATTTCACTAACAGCTATAATGTACACATAGATCAAGTGGATGTTGTTCACATGTTTATAATGCATATTTTTACCTCTAAAAKCCTGCAGTAAGCGAGGGAAGCAGGCAAWGAGTGTAGCTTTGGATTGTCACAGATGTTGAGTGTTTTCAGGTTTGGTAAATTCCCAATTTCATCAGGAAGAGATTGAAGATTATTGCCTGTGAAAAAAATACAACTACAATAAAAAAACATAACAAGCAAAGGACTAACAATGTAGAATTGAATGGTGAAGTGGTCTTGTTCGTGTTCCTACTTATAGTACAAGAAAGTGTAGAATAAATTACAAGTGAACAGGTCAGTATAACTAAGACAAAGCTAGATTATTGGTAAAGCCAATGTAGAAGAACACAAAARCAAAGAAAAGATAAGTATATTATCATATCAATAATATTGATTTTRATATGATGATGCTACATTTACCTTGTAAATTAATAAAGGTCAAGGATTTCAAGCCACCAATTGCTTTTGGTAATGTCTTTAGCTTRTTGTTTTGTAAATTAAGAACCTAACAGAAAATGAAAAATTTGTCAAGGACTTATGTTCTTTTGTTTATATCTCTTCAACTGAACTATTAAATAAGTAACAACAATATGTTTAATATACCTCTAGTGATTTTAACTCATCAATATCATTTGGTAAACTGCTCAGTCTATTGTCCCGAATATCGAGAACCTATCATAATAAAAGAAAAATTTTTAAAAATGAATGATGGCTTTTTTATTTGATTGATTGGTTGATGGATTACCTTAACATCAGCAAGGTCTCGCATACTTCCACCATCCTTTATACTAGACAGATCATTGTCAGATAAAAGAACAACCTAAGAAAATATCAAATATCCTTTCAATAATATAGACTGACCTGGTTTCCATTCATATGTTCAAGTCATACTAATTAATTAACAAATAAATAAGGCTCAGCCGTGGTTTATACTCTCATAAACCACACTTTTTAGGCCAATCAGAGCGCACGTTAGAATTCATCTATATAATAATATAGTATACATTTCATGACAAGGACAAATAAATATTTGTGTAACTAAAGTACACATATACAGTATATGTTCCATGACAAGGACAAATAAATATTTGTGTAAATATAATTGTATTTGTCAAGGATCTATTTACGTTTTTGCTATAGTCTCTGAATGATAAACAATTGTGTAATACAAGTCATGTATTTCTTACCTCCTTTCTCAAAACCCGACAAAGGGAAAACATTTCTTTGGGAAGCTTAAAGTACAAAAATATATTCAATTCGTCATTTATCTGTTTATCAAAATCCAAATTGTTGGATTACAGCTCTAGATGTATACAACTTGCTGCATGTCCCATAACATGCCTTCTACGTAATGTAAAATGTTTTATTTTATTTCTCTGTAAGTCGACATTTCTATTAAATAGTTGGAGCAATCTAGACACTTAGTAAATAATAGCATCTAATGTGACTATTAAGATCTCAGACTGACGAATCAATTTATTTTGATCGGCGAACGACATCACGCAACATGGAACACAACACCTTCAAACTTTCAAAAATTTCCCATTCTTTTTGTGACAMATAAAAATAATCTCAAAACTTACTTCGGTTACACCACATCCTGTAAGGTTAAAAGATGGTTCTGGAGATTCTTCAGCCTTTGATATCAATCAAATTACGACGAAATCAGTTAAAAGCTGAAAACAGCTGACTTCAAAACGACCATATTTGGAAATTATACTAGTTCTTACCACAACTATACATCGCTGCAATCGTCTCTGTGACTCTTCTTTATCAACTTTCCTCGTTCTAAACAGCGGCATGACGTTAAATCTTGTTAATTCTGTCACAAAGTCAAGCCATTGTAACTCTTTTTTAGGGAAAATAGCAAAATTTCTTGTCAAACTTCACTTTAGTTCCTCATGATCGGGTTTTGACATAAGCGCAATGGTTTCTGGGAAAAGAATGATTCATAACACACAGGCAGCCCAATTCCAATTTCTATTTCTAAAAGTACAAACTTTTTATCCAAATTTGCGCCTGGATGAGAGGAAAATTTAACAGCTCTGCAAAAGCCGTATTCCTCATGTGCTGAGGAAGTAATGCACAAGAGGAAATTGTTGAGTCCTTGCATATCTTTAGGTCTTAGATTGTAAGAATGCGTCACRGCGAAATGGATGCCATATCTGTCAAAGCTTTAAGTGTGATTAGAATAATTTCTATTCTTCATAATCATATTAGAATAATGCCAGTTTTTTTATAAAAAAATTAACATGCACAAATTCAATTACCCAGAGCTCTGCGCGATTTCAAAGGAGGAGCATGCGTAGGAAATGCTCGCTAAGCGCGCCAAATTTCAAGACTTCAAAATGGCGGACGAAGGCTGTCCGATCATGAATTCTAACACAAATTCTAAGCTAAATGCTGCGTTTTGGAGTGCAAAAACTGCTACTATAGGGTATGTTTCATCTTTGAGGACGTTAAAACATTCTTTGGATAGAAAGACTGCTTTTCTGTGCGGCATATTCTACGCATTCTGCACGTTGCGACAGCTTTTGAAGTCGTACTTCTTCACGGTCTCCTTTTGTATGCCCTTCTCCACCTCTGGAAGTAGATATCGACGCATTGATTGAGATGTTAGCATCTATGGACGACGGTGAAGAGTACATCATACAGCCGGACGACGATGTACTGATAGAGTCTGACACACCGGTGGTAGTGTACATGTAGCTGCTTGACGGTTCAACAACGAACAAAATTGTCGCGCCAAAAACTGATGCTGTGTGTTCAAACCAGCGAAGCCTTCAAGATATCCCAAATAAGATAATGGGTATGATAAAGCACTATAATAAAGACAGCTTGTTCCAGAGRTGTTTTCATGAATTYTAAGTTTAAAAAGTTATTGTTTGATTATACTTCAGACATTTCAGTTTTGGGTTTCCTGTGCTCTTTCCCTCATAAAACAAGACTAGGAGACTGATGAGATACTCTGCGAACAGAACTACTAAAAGTAGCTCTGTTCRCASAGTACTGATTAGAAGRATCTCCATTGTGCCYTATAATRAAGATTGCCTGTCCTGGATTTGAATCTTACTCAATTTTATTATAATTGATGTTAACATTCTTTTGTTTTATTATTTTCAGGTTTTTCTCTCTCTGTTTTTGGGGCTTTTTTCTATCCAGTATGATTTAGTTGTATTGCAATGAAGGATGTTTACGTCAGGATGATCAGGAAGTCCAAACGTATCAGTGAGTCATAATTATATCGTGTGATTGTTGTAATGTTTAAGTCTAACTTTGTTTGATGTTATATATTGATTGAGAAATTCTGAATGCTTGCTCACCATTTTATGTTGGCAACAAGCTTCACAATGCATACTGTCTCTCTCACAGTCACGACTTCTGTGGCAGGGAGACCAACAAAGGAGAGGCTGCAAAGGAGGCTACAAAACTAACACAATGCTTAGAAGCATTGGTGGCACTTTGGGCTTATATTTTTTTGGGCTTATTGAGTCCAAAAATTTAAAAATGGATTAAAATTTTGTAATTTTAATCAATCAAATCATACAATGTAAAAACAATTCTGTGAAGAATTTTTTTAAATCTTACAAACTTATCAGGGTCAAATCCAGGGGGTGTCCATTGGTTTATCAGGCACCCCCCTGACACCACAAATATTAGTTCATTTTGAACCAATATTTCATTGGTTATGATGTAATGGACAGCATGAGATCACTAGAAACAGAGTAATTTCATGTGGTTTTTGCTCTTTTCTTGCTAAATAAGATAACAAATCAACCAAATTTTTGATATTTTTCATATTTATGATTATTCAAAYATATTATGTAGTTTAACAACAGCTTAAAGGTTTTTAAATTTTGAAATATCAACTACTCCATGTATATGTCGACTTTCTTTAAATGCCTGGCTATAATCATTATATTTTGTTCCTTTTTTGCGCAGATTCACTGAGTGACGTGCGCTAAACAAGTGCCTTTTTTATTAAAGGTGTTTTCCTATTCCTGTGTGAAAATCTTCACTAGATTACCGATAGCATGCAATTAGCACCACACACTGAATATTAACAAAAAAACGTCTCTATCACAGCCCAAAACACACACAAAATCGACGAAAAAAATTATCTTTTAGATTAAAAAACAAGAAAGAGCAATTAACGGCATTAACAATTGGCAATGGTCTTCATTCAACATAGCAAATGACATATTTGTTTATAATAACTCTGACTATTATAAAGTGCTATAACATGCGTGGTCTGTGGTCTGGCGAGAAAATTGACATTAATTGGTCGACGTCCTGATTTGGTGCGATCAATTGTTCTGATCAGATGTTCGAAATGAGACTTAAATTGCTTGTTTGTTGATAATAAGAATCTAGCAAGTCACAAATGCAATCTAACGATGTGATTTTAATTTTCCGTAAGTCATCAAAGTGATTTCTGCCATCTTCATCAAGTTGTTTGGCTTGATTGTATCAGGAAATTTAGTCACCAAAAAAGACGAAGTCCTCATTATAACCTCACTATTACAAATCCGACAATTAATACACGGAAAGCGATAAAGAAAAACCTCGCATAACCAAATTTAATGCTCAGGAAATAGGAAAAAAAACTTAATTGAAAAAAAGGAAATCGAACTATTAGTCTCTAGAGATTGAAAATCGTTGTTTTCATCATTTCTTTCTTAATAATGTGATTTATTGCGACTTTTTACTTCAGTGCAATTAATTGTGAACAGCGAATTCGACTATCAGTTCAAGGGGATTTGTGTGGTTAGATCGGTAAAGTCTAACAGACCGTAATTACTGGTACTAACAAAGAAGTGCGATCCCTTTTTGATTTTTATCGTCACGGATATGCCGACTCGCGCACTTCAGACATTTTCATTTCCTTGATTGTCGAAGAGAACAAAAATCACTTATCTCTTTATGAAATCTCTACATTTGATTTTTAATAGCGGTTTAAGATCAGAGATTCTGGTTTGGGGGTTTTGATTGACACTAGCAGGTCATGCGCGCCCGGATCCCATCTATATATTACTAGGTTTTGTTTCCGAAATACTTGAGGATATTGTGTGATTTGAATGGGGAATCATGCTGCATTGTGCTTTCATCTCTTGATCCGAATCGATAAGACATGATTTTAAGAAAACTAGTTGAAACTCAAAAGCTTATTTCCTTACAGTATCATCGTACAAGAAGATAAAAAGAACGAAAAAGATTGAAATATCAGAAAGAGTCTGTACTTTAAAATTAATAATGTCTTTAATCCTTGCACGTAYGTCAAAAGCAATGAGTATTAAAACATGAAAGTTATTCAATTCATTACTCTTCAGTTTTCATGTTTTGTGATTTGTTTTGTACTTCCAAAGATTATCTCTCTCTGGAGTACTTTAACATTATATTTCCAAATCTAAAAACGCGATACCTTATCCTACTAATTCCCTATCGATGCTGCATTTTAAAGCCACAAAGAAAGCGACTTTACTTTTAGGGTTAATCGCTTAAATTTGTAACCTGCTTATTGCACTCGTACGTTTTACTGGTTCATTTTGTGCGCCGACTAAGATTTGATCCAATTTCAAATTCAAATTCAATTGAGGAGAGTCTTATAGAAAGCCATTTTTTGATCAGTTAATGTGTACTATATCAATAATCCCCCTATGGTTGTATTATCGATCTATTCATTTATGTGGTGTAGTAATTTAATAACCGAATTTCACCCAAGACTGCACAGAATTCTAAATATTTGTTCAAAGACAAAGAGGATGGTCTTGATTGAGTCACAACCGTCTCAGTAATATAMATCACTTGTCGCGTTCGGTTATTTAGACATCATTACATTGGAGTTTAAAGCCATCGTATAGTATTCTCCATTTCGTGTTTATTGTTATCGCTATGTTCATGAAGCTAGTTCTTCCTCTCTTCCTTCCCTCTCTTTTTTCTTCATTATTTCATTTTCCCGCTCCCTTTCTTTCTAACTATACACTCTAGTGTGTTTTAATTTCTCGTCTTCATTTGTTCCAATGTTCATTTTGGCGACAGCAAGCTCCTCGTAAGCGTTTAATTTTCACCATATGGTGCTAGTTTTGTATTACAGTCAGATTTGGTAGACTTTCGTTGTCAATAGCCGATTTGCAATCAGACCATCTGGATTCCCAATCACTACTTTACATCTCTAGTAAATGTGTAATCACTATCTAAGAAATAATCCAGTCATTCATAGGGGGTTTATTCCTGGAGTTTGCGGATACGGACTCAATCAGAACGGAACCAAAGGAATTATGTACTTATTTGAAATCACTCGTCTCCAAAGATTTTTCTAGAAAACAGTGTAGCGAATAATGTAAGGATCAGTTGACATCGCACTAAATTACATGGTAATGGAGATTTTTTCGCGGGGGGAGTTTATTAGTGTTTCTTAGTTTGTTATGAAAGCTCTAAAATGGCTTCTGTCCTTGAAAAACAAACAAGAAACAACAAATAAATTAATAAATAAATGAGACAGAATAAGGCAAAAACATTAATTAATCGGGAGTTTCCCGCCTTTTCCCAACTAGCACGTGTTGACCACTCCCATTTTGCAGTTTGTTTTTTTCTGCCACAAACTTTGGAATGCGATATCGTTAATTAGGTGTATGAAACATTATCATTTTTGTCAGTGTAAACTCCATATTTAGGATAAATGTTTATTCGTTATAAAAGAAATTGGAAACCCTCATTGACTGGGCTTCGTACAAATACATGTCAATTGTGGTTTTCAAACATTTTAAACTACACTGTGGTGTGCTATCATTAACAACCAAAGTCTCCCAAACCCATTTAAGTACCTCAGCTGTTGAATGCTTTGATTGTTTATTAGACATTTATTAAGAATTTTAGCTACAACCGGTGAATATTCCTCCCGCTTACTTTCACTTTCTACACATCATTATATTCTATTAGATTTGAGAATCATGCGTCACTGCTATTGACAAAATTACAACCTAACTTGTAAAGCTATTAATGCACTTTGAGAAGCCATTCAAATGTTCTGGGGAAGCCATTCATATGCTCCAGGGAAGCTATTCAAATGCTCAAGAAACCATTCAAATGTTTTTGGGAAGCCATTCATATGTTCAAGATACCATTCAAATGTTTTTGAAGCCATATTCAGTTTCTTTGATTTGGTAAGATCATTTTTTGTATTGCGTGTTAAAGAGGGAATATTCTTTTGTGTCTCGTAAAGTTCTTCAAGTGCTTATGTTAAGAAGTCAGATTATATTGACAAAGTAGGCGCGCTTTGCGAGTCATTTATATACCACCCAACGTGAAAATGCTGTTTGGTATGGGAAGCTTGTTGGGCGCTTGTAACATTAGCAAAGTGTCCTCTTTTCGTCACGAGGCTATTCTATATTCTTTCATCAGTAATCTTAACTAGGAATCTGAGGTTTTGAACGCCATGGCTCGTCTAAACGTTATCTTTACTATCTCTCACAAGTTTTGCTTAATTGTTCCTCCCTGTTTTTATGATCGTTTATTTAAAAAACAAAAACAGCCGTACATAACATATGCTTTTATTAAACTTTAAAATAAATCCTAAAATATCATTTAACTTTTTTTGCTTTAAATTGAGATTAAGAGAAAAGTTGTCTATATCCCTGAGAAGTAAGGCCAGGATGAAAATAGATTTTGAGGCGATTTGATTTCAAGTCGCGTGTAACAGGCCTTGTTTTTCACGATTCCTTGTTTTTCAATTGTTTTTAATTGTATTGCGAGTCAACTAACGTAAATTGATAATCTTCTTCCCCGCAGTGAGAATGGCTAATAAGGAAATCTCGTGAAGGCGACGGTGTTTTTATTGTTCCTTTAATCACTGTGTTCGAGTAATTATGACCTGGCGCCGTAGATGTGGAGCCATAGTCGAGACAACCGTTACAGAAAAATACCTCTTTCCTGCTGTAAGAGTCTCAAATCCAAAACATTTCACACAACAATTAGTAGATTAGAGCATATTGCGCGCAAACTCGATGTTTATTGATGAAATTCCATTAAACCATGTGAAAATAGAGAAATTTTTAACCAAGTATTCTCGAGAAAAGACATGAGTTTTGTTTATGTTTTTGTGGGTTTTGACTGTTTCAGGGTTGTGTGGGATGTGACTAGATTAGCAATCAGTGTCTCAGCATGCTTTAATGTTCCAAAAGGGACAGATTTATAAATAGTCAATTACACTGTTTTCTAGAGAACGACTTTGAACAACTAAGTTAAAAATAAACGGTTCAAAGAAAATGATTGTTTGCTGGAACTTGAACGAATCTTAAAATACTCTTCAWATATTCCAAAAATTGATAAGAGATTTATCAAATAAAGAGAAAGTGCTAGGGCAAGAACGAAATCTTTAAAGAACAACCTTTGAAGTAGTTCCCAATAAACAACATTACTTGTTCATAAGTTGGTGAGAAAGGGAAAAAATCATTTCAAATTTCCATATTTTTCCGATTGTATTTGCGTATAATTGCATGACCTAACAAAATTCATTAATCTTTTAAGTAGTTCAACCCGAGTCCTTTAAATCAATAGACAAAATGCTGCGTCTTCAGGAAAATCTGTGCTTTCTAATTCTAAGTAGACTCAATTCTTAAATTCCTATGGTTTTTGCTCAATGGAAATATCTTTTTTAAAAAGAATAAAGGTACACTCGCATTGTCTTYGGCAGGTATATTTTTCATTTTAAAAGGTTAATTTGCTAAATCGCCAAAGTTAATGCTTAAATGTTTTAAGAAAATAAGATTATTGAAACAGTCGATTAAGGAACACGATTCCATAACATCTAGTGTACCAATTCTTGTTCAGTATCAAGCAATATGGGTGAAACTCAATTCTTATAAAATTCAAGCGAAAAAAAGTGTCAAAATCAATTGTTATCCCCAATGCCTTTTCGCCTGAGGGCAACTGAACAAAAGTCTCCGCAATTTGACTTTCAAAAACTCAAAGCTGGCGAAATTTGATCCAAATAATCGTAAGGTTACAGGTTGTGGAAAATGGTTTTATAAATTTCCCATTTTGTTCGACTGAAAGGCTTCCTCAAACATGTCAAAAAAGAAAGTTCTATAATAAATTTAAACGTGTTATTGGCTGTAAAAGGCCCCTAGTGTTTAAGCAATCAATTTTTTGGGAATCTCATCCCCGTCGTGCTGCGCCTTTGAAAAAAAAAAACATTTTTAGTATGAGAGTCATTCAATAAGCTATCTTGCAAATTACCCTCTAGAACCGGCTGGTGAAATGTATTCATGGATTCGSCCATCAATACGGAGCAATATTAACTTTTTAGACACTAAATTAAAAGTTTTTATCAAACGAAACCGCGTATGGACGGTGAACTCTCCGAAACAAAAACAAACTCTGATTTTTTAAATGGATAAAAGAAGTGTTTGTGAAGAAGACTCACRATCATTGTCGTGAGCGCTGCGTGAACGAACACAGACGTCGAACAATGGCAGTTCCCCCAGCACGAGTCGAGATTAGCCTTCAACTCCTGTTTTCGAACAAATATAATGTTATTGTCTTACATAAACGTAAACTTGTCTTTATTTTGACTTAAATTGTTTACTTTCAAATCTATGATATCACAGCGAATTGTGGACTCAAAACAAACGAACACCGGCCACGGCAAATTGCTTTTCAACCACGGGATCTGACAGCTTTTCTGTCGAATTCAGCGAAAATTACCAAGCCACACGGAAAGAGTTCGCTATTGAGCTTTGACATCGCATTTCAAGTATTATTGCATTCGAGTTTTGGAAATAATAAACCTTTTTTGATGAATACTGTTTGTCAATTTTGTCTTTTTGTAGGCAGCTGCAGGCACGGGTCTTGTGAGGCCCTAGATTGATATAGCTATCTATCTATGAACCATTTAATTGAATCCGCGCACGTTTACAATGGCAAAGACCTTTATATGTTTATTAAGCCCTCGGGAAATTCCATTTTCGTATTTCAAAAAACCTTTTTGTCCATAGCTGTGAACTAGTCTACTATAAAAGAAAGATTTGAAAACAGTTAAATGAGCTTTTTGCGAGTGTAACCTTTTATATATTTTTTTATACTTCAATGGCTTAGTAAATCTGAAACAATTGATGATTATGCTCTGTTCCGGTTCGGCTGTTATCTTCCACACAAATTTAAAGAGAAGATTTCAAAGTGCAAATGTGTCTCTGTGTGGATTTCCGGTCGGGTTTTGCCTACATACGTTGTTTTAACGGCTCTTTGAACTCCTTTTGGGAGAAATAGAATTAAAGAATGAGTAAAGCTTAGTACGGTCATTACTCGCCAAATAAACTGATGTTCTTCACGTTGTTTTAAACAGTCTTTTCCCACACAAACAGTCCTTGTCTRTGACAAGTGTCCGTGTAGAAAGTCAGTTTGTAGTGTGGTGTTTCAAAGATCGCCTTGCGAACAGGTTGAATTGATTCCAGGTCAATCCCCATTAGATATTCAGTTTACAATGGTTCAATCTGTTCTTATTTAAGGAGAAACCACAAACAACAGCCTTTTGAGTGCCCCCTTTGTTATTGCTAATCGATGGATCTGATTTCCTTGCTATTTTATCATGCAAATTAGCCAAGTTTAAACGCAAACGGCTCACCGTTTTAATTCGACGCTCAATCCACAACACTTAATACTCATATCCGCTGCAAGAATTAAAGGAAGCCCAGTAGCGATTAGTAATTGCAACTGAAACCCCTAGTTTTGTTATTCCACAAGTAAAAAAGATCAATCACAGGCTGTTTTGATGATGGAACTATTATTTTTTGTTGATCTAACGCTGTTCTTCCTCCACCTGTCTTGTGCAGTGATATGTTAACCGCACGACCTGATGTCAACTCATTGAATTTACTAGGAAAAAAACCTCAAAACTTTAAAAAAAAAAACAGTTCTCAGAGCAGGCGTAAAGGGATTTTACTAACAATAGRAAAGATCATAAACAGATTGGGAGAGTTTCAAATTCTACCCGGCTAACTAACGCCCAAGCGATATTCGAGCTCACTCCAAGGTTTTTGTGCTATCAGATTTGAAGCCATTCAGCAAGACGTTGTGGCAACAAACTCGTCAGAACTCGGGTCTACGCTTTTAGATAGCGCTGTAAGTCTATCAAGATAGAAGTGTAACCAAGTCAAAATACACAAGTTGAGTCGATGAGAAGATTAAGGACAACTTAACACAGTAAATTAGCGCGACTCTAAACATCAGGTCACCGATATAAATGGGTGAGTAAAACATGAGTTTATTTATTATCTTTTTTTTACCTCAAAACAACGAAGTCTTTTTGAAAAGGCTAAAAGATGTTGTGTTGTTGTTCTTGCGCAAACGTTTCAGCAAGGTTTCTAGAGTTATTCATGCGTTGGGATTGATATAAATCACTCCATCTATAATGCCTAATTGGTCCTATTGAACTAGCTTTTGTTCAACTTTGGRAGTCTCGTTTTTTCTTTTGGAGGGATTTCAATATCCCTTGAAAAGCCCTACTTAAGATACTGGTATCAATTAATGGGAAGAATAATTGTCTAACGACATTGGTAAATTAGCCGGAAGACGTTTAGAGCAGGCTATACCTATCGTATTTTCCACTCATATTCGAGACCCATTTGCAGATCATTATACTAATTGGTCAAACAGACCCCCAAAAACTTCGGTTTCTCCGTCGAGTGTTGACAAGCAACTCAGTTAAATCTGAAAGTCCACAGATTGACATAGAACTAGTGGACAATCGGGGTTTTGAACGGCGAAAACATTTCACTGTTGTCAGTGATTGCCTTGTTCAAGAAGTCTCGCTGTGAATTCTTTTCATCGCACTTAAAAGCAAAGGAAAGCACTTTAGTAGAAGTCTGACATCGATTCAAGTTTTAATAGATTTTTACACCCAGGGGTTTTGTTTTCAGGCAAAGACAATCGCTATACTTTGTTTTCAAGGAAACGCAAAACAACAAAGTGATAATTTGCTAATGTTTTTTTGTTATTTGCTGATCAAAGGATTCAAACCCTCGATGGATACTCTATCGATTTAGTTTAATACGTCTTACAAATAGAACAAAAAAAGATATGTTTAAAGTTCAACGCCACAAAGCGCTCTATCTTAAATTTCTTGCTACTCCTGCGATTCTGCTGGAATTCCTCTGACAAAGGGTTTAGCTTTGAAATCTGTAATTGAACTTAATATGTTTTGGTATGTTTTCAAAACAGTGTGACAGTTTTTTTAGAGCTACAAAGCCGTTCAATACAACAACGGCTTTGTTCGGTCTCTCTTGAATGTAATAATCTCAAAAGCTAACAAAAACTGGATTTTCGTTTATTAATTCTTCGGTTTTGAATGCATTGAATAACTCTTGAACAAGCAGTATGTAATATTATCGGAAGTCACTGCAAACGTTCTACAACAACAAATAACATTCAACATGTGAATTGAGAATGTTGATTTTGCACTAAATCTGTACAATTAGTTTGTCTTTTTTTATTCCGTTTTTGAGTGAGACGCACTGGAAATATAGAATCGTAGTCAATTACGAGAAACCACATTCAGACACGGACCATTCGGCATTCGCCATAGCGTCCTTTGAAGAAACCGATAGAAATAAAAATAAATGATTTCTAATAGATCATAATCACTTCGATAGATTCTCTTAAGAAACTGTTAAAATATCTGTGGTTAATTATGATTCATATTTATCGATATCACTGCGCGCATTGATACTCTAGAGGCTCAAGGGGACTCGCCGTGGTACTACTCGCCGTAAGATCCACAACAAGTGCGCTCGCGTCAAAAATTGGCGCCAAAAATAACACGTGACCATCTTAAATATCAACAATAACTAAACAAATATACTGTTTTTAGAGGAAAATATTTAGCGGAAATACATGGCTTGTTTTGAGCTCTAAATATTTGCATTTAAAATATCATTTTGGTTTGGGGCTCTAGGTTCAAAGTTTGACTTTATCAACGTTTCTTGCGGGCGTTTTACGTGTCTTATGTTGGGCGCACGCTTGATTTAACCAAAGAGGTGGACTTATCGAAACATATGCGACAAAAACGTTAATAATATCGATACTTGGTTACAAATATCAAAGCTATCTAGCAGACAACTGCATGAATTGACACAAAACGAACGTCTTGTAACGAGTGTTTCCAGGTCGGGAATTTTAAAGCTATTATAACTGCCATTGTTTTGAAAAACTGTATTAGTATAATTTCCACTATGCGTGGTGCCTATGTCATTTTGATTACATAAAACCTATACAATTTCCCACTTCTCAAGGATGTGCAGAATACTTATATGGCCAATCTGTTCTTGCACTGCCTTTGTTTTAATGCCATATTTAGGGTAAATACATTTATCAGAAGGTTGTTGTTGTATTGTCAATTCCTTGTGTATTATTTCTGTTTATAACTGTGCTGAAATGGTGTCTCCATGCTTCATTAGCTAGCTGAAAACGTCAAGTTAACAAATCATTACAAATAGGCGATGACCATTCTTTTATTTCATTATAACATGTCTCAATATCACCAAAGTTTTTTTTACATATTCAATGATATCTGTCATCCATGCTTTCGTTTGTTTTTGTTGCCGCTGAGGGTCAGATCAGCACGTACTCACAAAAAGAAAAAAAAAAAGCGCTCATCTTTTTATTCATAAACAACCCTTAAGGGTGATTTTCACTGTTGGCGACAAGTTTTCATTAACAATGAGAAATTTTCCTCCTTGAAAATATATAATATTTTTCTAAAAATACAACTTAGATAAAATTTGTCATTCGGCTTAGAAAAGTCAACGGCGCTTTCAAAAACAAGAAAACATAGAAGTTAAGCCTGAAATTATTGCTCATTAAAGTTTTAATATACTGGATCAAAATACTTCCTAATTTGAGATAATSTGGAGTCCGTGAGTTATGTTTGCAGCTTGTCGGTTTTTAGTGTCTCGGCTGTCCAAAGATGCATCGCGATTGCATTGTTTTCCTCCAATCATTTACTAAAATGGGTAAAAAATCATACGGCTGGTCGCATTTACAAACAGTATACTTTGTTTAACTAGCTTCACTGGGGAGTCCATGGCACATTATAMAGATCAATGAAGCTCAATATGCCGTTAAACAAAGGCTGTGTTTTGTAGGTTTTGTCGTTTTGGAGCGGGCATATCAGAGATTGGATACTGATCAGTTTTCAGTGCGTTTTACGTGAGGTATAAATCGATGTACTGATAACAAACAAACAGGCTTCTGGTCAGTTCTCAGAGTGATTCCCTTGTATAAGACATGGGATTATTAACGCCTATCTATCGGTCATTTACCCATCTAATACCAAGGTGTTATCATTATTGAAGTGATCTCGACGTCTTTAAGAACAATCAAGCCAAGGCTTTATAGGCATATTAGTGAATACGAAAACTCGGTGATAAATCTATTGAAGATTTGTCTCGAGATAGTGCTAATGATTTGAGAACCTTTAACCGTGATACAAACCGCACGGACCACAGATTAGAAATCAAGGCAAAAAAAATGAGCAACTTTCATTTTCGACTGAAGAATGGCGGAAAAGAATTTTATAAAGATGAAAGCAAAGTGTGCGAAATATGTTTTAACACCTTTTTGGTTTGACATAGAGCAATAGCTCACAGATTACAAATCAAGGCAAGAGATGTCATTTTTGAACTGAAATTAAAACTAGTAAAGTRGAAAATTTGAGTTGCATGGGACTAAAAGCGGACCCAAAGGGAGCTATGAAATGTCAGTCATAAAGACTGGAACAGCGCTATTAATTCGATTGAGATTCTATGTGTCATCTCGCCACCGCATCATGTTTAATTAGGGGCTTATTTAAACATTCTCATCCATTCACAGCATAGCCTTAAATTTGATTTTCTTTCCACGCGAATGTGGAGCTGACTGGTAGCTCCATCATGCAGTGCTGGAGGCAAGAAATCATCCCACCTGTTCATAAGGACACAGTGATGCCTTGGACAATGGGTTATAGTATTTTAGCTGTCGAAGGACTGGATATATATGTATACATGTGATTTCTAGAAATGTTTTTTTATTCTGAAAATGGACCGAGAAATAAACAACTTAAACAGTCCATGTGACACAATGGTCCGTGCAATCAGTGGCGAAAAACCGTTTACACCCACTCTGGCTTCCAATCCATTAGTGATTCAAATTCCCCATGCGACAAAATGTTTTAGAAACCTTTTAGTTCTTTATAACTCTGAGGTGTTAAAAAAATGACGCCGGACCGTTCGTCTACACCTTAGTTGCTTTGAAGGTATCGATGTTACTCGTAACTTTAGCTGGTTTATCGTAAAGAAAACAAACTAGTTGAAACTGATGAATTATTATTAGGGTCTTAAGACAATTGACGAACTTAAATTATACACAGCAGAATGTCAAGAAGAGTGGACAAACTCTAACAATAGCCCAGAAAGCATTCAGCCAATAGCATCCGCTTCATCAAATCCAAATCAGGTATAGCTCGAATACACCTGTAGTAAAGGCCACTCTGCGCATGCGTATTGCCTAACCAGCCTGTTAGGTTGCTATGGCACCCACCTGGTACAGCTGGCTTCGGATTGTTCGGATTTGACTTAAAAGGTTTGACATGCGAAAATACTTGTAGAATAAAACGTCGGTCCCGTGCAGCTACACGGCGCGATCAACTCCAGATTTGAGTGATACCAGATTAGTGATTCGGCCCAATTACTCGAYAATGCCGAGATCATTTCTTGTCAAGACGAGAACCACAGAGGATATTTTGAAGGAAACTTCTACTGAACACACGCCTGAACTACCGGCATCTCTCCCGGGTAAGAGAAACGCCGGCAAAACTGCTCTTTTAACTAWCTCGCGGCTACCCTGTCAATCAGCGTATACACTAGTTGATTGTAGCTTGGACTCTTGTTGTCTTTGGGTATAGGATCTAATAAGTAAATAGCAGTTCAAATCTAAAGTTTGGCACTTTTTACGTCTGCATATTTATATATATATAGATGGTTTTGGAATGAAAAAAGTCATGGTCTTTGATTTTTACGTGCACAAAAGCACATAATTTTCATTGATTTTCCTAGGCGCAGTAAGCCCATACCTCCAAACACTTCATCAACATCTTTCAGATAAAGGACCAAGTTATTGACTTTAATAGTGCAAAGATAACATAACTGACTTTATTTGCCTTCTTTCTTCTAAATCAGATCCAAAACAAGACGAAGAAGAAATCAAACCTAGTGTAAAAACTGAGGAAAAGCCATCGTCGCGTCCRTTTGATATTGCTAATCTAACTCGTCCGGATAAACCAAATAAAAAAAACGACAGCGATCCTCTGAAACTTTGGAAACTGCAACTCCAAAATCAACATGCGCTCAGAGATTTCCACCGTTGTTACGAGCCATCAGGTAAGAATAATTGTAAAAGTATGTAATATTGAGCATAGAACTCGCGGGATGGATTAATACCTTTAACTACCCAACAAACATTTTTGTTTTCAAAATAGAAAGTCTTAACTACACATCAACCTAATTGTCGCATATATCTGTAATCGTGCGAAAACATCACTTGATGGCAACGCTTTTTAAGGACACTTTAGACTAAGATATGTATACTTTAGTTGAAGACGATCATTTTCAACCATAAACGACTATTCGTAACGCCATTTACACGTATTGTCACAATATAAATCAAAACTGCGAATTTTGTTCACAWTAAAGCAGGAAATCGTCAGATTTATACCGAATACTTATCGACTTTTATTGAAATTGCAAAACTTTGGAATAGTGAATATGGAGATATCAAAGTGTTTTAACTGGTTTTGTGGATAAATTCGAGGATTTTCTTCAGTAATTCAGTAAGGAATTACAAGCGAAGCTGTTCGTGTAAATAAAGCTTAATTAAGGCCAAGGGACTACGAACAATGACACAAAAGGTTCATGTTAAACTGAATTCGGCGGGTTGTTAAACTAGGCTTCACATTGATTTGCGTTTCTACATGATTAAGACAACATTTAAAGCAAACCAGATTGTATTGTCAAATTAAATTGAGATTGTTTGAGCAAATGACAAAACGGAAGGAGTTCCAAGTGCGAAGGATATCAATTCTACTCAATTTCAACTTTTCATTTAACATCGAGTCGTGATTAAGACGAAATCTGCTCCAATCAGAGAAGCAAATCCCTATTAATCTCACCATCGCTAACCGCGCTCTGAATATCAATAAAAATTCCAATGTCAAATGTAATTGGGATATTGCGAAATGCTCTAAATGAAGAACACAATTTTGAAAGGAAAGAACAGTTTATAACTGGTTACGGCAGCAAATAGAATTGCGAAATGACTTATAATTAGAACAAAAACTGTATGAATTCTTGATGAAGCCCCCTCCCCTAAAAGATATGAGTTCCGCTGTAAGCACGAGAATAAAAAAAAGAAATCGCAGTTGAAGAGAAATATTTGGAAATCCATTTAAACGATCTTGGAATSCTTTCAAATGCGTTAGGAATCATTTGGAGTTTCCTGCACATAAATTAGGGAATGTGTAATACTTTAAACCTTCAAATTATCATTTTTATGCGAATAAGTCTCTCCCGCATTAACTTTCTAAAGCTGTATTCTTAATTTTACTCGAGTAAGTTTGAGTGAATCGTGTCTTTGTTTTCTCAGTTTCAGAACCAGTTTTATTTCAACGCCATTCATTAGTTCAAGAGCAGTACAATCCATACGTATTTTCTCCGTATCGACATCAAGTTTTTTATCAAAACCGTTCGTCCCTTACCGATGTTCCATTACCTTATCATCGATGGGCGCCTTCGCCATACATGAACCGACTAACTTCAGGTCACTTAACCTGCCGAGAGAGCGAACTCGCCCCCTCGCTGTACCACACCCATCGCAGGCCATCCCTTCTGCCGCCTTCACCGAACGACAAGAAAAAGACGGATTCCATCTCTCACGGAGATAGCTTTGAGTGCATGAGCTGTAAAAAGGTCTTCGGCACATCGCATGGTCTAGAAGTCCACGTAAGACGATCGCATTCAGGACGAAGGCCGTACGAGTGCACTGTTTGTAAAAAGACGTTTGGTCACTCAGTAAGCCTTGAACAGCATCAGTTCATCCACACAAACGAAAAGACTTTTAAATGCAAAGAATGCGGCAAGGTTTTTAAAAGATCTTCGACCTTATCAACCCATATGCTCATCCATTCGGACACAAGACCGTTTCCTTGCAAGTATTGCCCTAAGCGATTCCATCAGAAGTCTGACATGAAGAAACATACTTACATTCACACAGGGGAAAAACCTCATAAGTGCTTGGAGTGTGGAAAATCATTCAGTCAGTCGTCGAATCTCATCACACATAGTCGAAAACACAGTGGGTTTAAGCCATTTTCTTGCCCGACTTGCAATCGCTCTTTCTACCGAAAAGTAGATTTGAGAAGACATACCTACACTCATGAGAATGGAGGACTATAAACAATATTTGTATATATATATATGATATGTAAACAATCAAAGAAAACTGCCCAGTAAACAAATGAAATAGACGCTAAAGAAACAAAGTCAACTTTAGTTGATTATAACAAAACGAAGACTAGCTGAAGCGAATGATTAAAAAGTAAAGCATTAGAACTCAGCAGAGAACAGTCTGTTCTTCTTGGTGGAAACGTTGCCAAAAAAAAAAATAAATGTTTATAAAATATATGTTGATGGAGTATAGAAATATTCTAATAAATAACGAATTCCATTTCTTGATATTATTCTTAAAGAATGTAGAGCTATTCTAATTCAAAGCTAGTTCGGATTGACATTTTATGAATAGAATATAAGAGAAGTATAATTGACAGAAAAGAACATACAATGTAATAAATTTGGAAAGAGAATAGAATACATTATACTCTTCTCCTGTCGCATGTCTTTATTTTAGAGTCAACGGCATTCGTACATCATTTTTCCTGAAGGAAACTGGCGAGTATCTGGCTTACTATAGTACCACTTTCAGTTAAGATGCAAAGGTCCTGTTTTTTGCTCTGCTCCAAAGAACTTTGCGAGCAATCAGGTCGTTTTTACTGGCATTTTGCTCTTTTTACTCTACCAATTTACTTTTCATTTTCAAATTGACAAGACTATTGTATGCTATTTTGAAATATAAAGCTAGTAGCTTTCAAAGTAAAAGCCAATTTGCAATGATTCAGAATCTTTAATGAACTTCGATTAAGAATTAATGGAATATGACATGCAAACCGAAAARATCCCTGAACAGCCGCAAAATGTCGTATCATAAAACTTTCTCAGTAAAACAATTTCTTTTCTTTACTTCACAAAAAGTAGTTTGCTTTATCCAGTATTTGCAGCMAAACGGAAATTTTAAGAATTCTATTTTTGTAAGTATTTTGGTGGTAAATAGCTTTGGCACGCAGGCCAGTTCTTTCGTTCTTTTTTGCAACTTACTTACACATTTGAACAGGAAATGCAATTATATATCCTTTAAAAAAATGACAAAAAAGAAATAACGAATCTACTATGTTTTTCACAAAATACAATTTTTGGCACGTGTGGAGAGATCGTGAATTTTCAGCTTCAAATTGATGTTTTACAGCTGTCGCCGTATAAAACTGCTTTTGTGAGTCGCTGAATGAGGATATAAAAACCGTTTACACCCATAAAACATAAACAGAAGATTATTGAGAATCGATTATGATGTTTTCCATTGGATGGTATCTTGACTGTTAAACTTGCTCTTGACAAATGCAATCAAACATGTTTTTCTGGTTTTGTTTAGTCTAATTAACGGCGCACAGGAGCGAAAACTTGTTCTTTTCTGGAAATTCGCGAGTGAAAGTGTTTTTCTTTYTWGCTTTTTATATTATTTWCTTTCAAAAAAGTAGAAGATACGCTTGTTTCTTAAGCAATGGAAAACTTATTATACTTTTTRTTTGTTGGCTTTACCCTTTTTTTCAGCACCAGTAAGTAACATTACTTAAATTGGCAACATCTTAAAGTTGCTCGCTTTCAATAAACGGCAACTTGTGTCTGCTTTTGTTTTTGAAAGTCAAACTTGGATTAAATAACCGTTAAAGGCCTATTTCCCTTAGATTTGAACAGATAGCTATTAACAATCGGTTAGTGTCGACAGAATAAGCTAAGCTGATGTGTGYTAATAAATCGTGAAAAGCAGCCTTGTTGAAGCCAGCGGGGCTGTCCAGCCTTGTCTGTTACAACAATCCTTAAATGCAATGTTTTGCGTTATTATTTATTTCCCATCTATTATCAACTTATAAACAGTCAAACCATTAGAAAAAGTTTATTCACTTCACTAGAGCTGTAGCTGAAAGATAAAGAAATACCGTCTGTAAAAACATATGTCGAACGCTGTAATTGGCACTAGACGTAGCTAGGTAATTACATTTATCCATAGCTCAAAGAACCATCAATTGATCCGTACTCTATTCAACTCATAGAACTAGCTTATTAAAGCTCAATAGCTAGTTAAAAACCCAATAAAACCCGCCGGTACGTGAGTTTAACAATCGGTTTTAGAAAACATTGAAGAGTTGCTCAGCGGTGGCTCGGTGATACCAATTAATCTCATCCCTTTTTTTCATACAGAAATCTTTCTTTTTTATATACAAATTGAAAACTAATGGATTTAATAAGAATATTCTAGTTTTGTATAATTATACTCTTGAATGGAAGAATTTTTCATWCTATTCGTATATCGTGTCTCGTGCCTGTATTTGTCTCGAGTATGTTTTTTCATTTTTTTAAGCTCTATTTGCCATTTTCCCGTAAACTATCAATGTGTTTACTATACTAATAAAAACCTAGACGGTATTTGATACTACTTTAGCGTGTATTACATAGTATTTAGGTTTTGTTTAGACCAATCATTCAGGCTCTCATCGCCAACTTAAAGTAGTATTTGATTTTTCGACATTTTCCATTCAAATCCATCAGGCTTTGCTCGTCACTGCCTTTGTGATTCCGAATCAGTAATGACAAATTCTTTGATGATTCTCATTGAACACCTTTTTGCAGAGCATTTTGGACGCTAATTACCTACATTATCCGCTTATCAAATATTTAGCGAAGTTTGGCACAGAGATTCTTTAGATAATTCTTACGGGTTCACGACGAGAATTCAATAAAGTGGTAAACGGCGCGCGCCGGAAAGCGATTTTCTTTGGAAGTAGTCYTAGCATATGTGAATGTACTATCATCGGTCGTGTCCATATGTTAAAATGCTTTAAAATTCTCATGTTTAAGTGACTATCACGGTCAAATCTTATCTTGCCCCTAGAGTGTTTCGCAGTCACTTAATGCTGCACAATCTATGGCTTCATCTCAAATGCAGGTTACAAACTTAGCTGTTCGAACTACCAGCTTCACCGTTCGTACTTTTCCAATCTTGCTAATCCGTGTCTTTGTTCTGTCTCATTAGAATTTCGCTATCATTGATATGTAACTRAAAGTTAATTTGCTCTTTTATCGCTAAAAGAAGCGAGTTGATCAGCGCTATGGGCTTTAACTAAGCCCAATAAGTTCAAGACAATCAAAATTCATATGTTAAGAACGATGCAGCTGGTCGAGCGAATGTGCGGAAAAACTGGCTAGTTTTACGGAGAGTGTTTTAGCGAGTGTCTTTCCATTTGTTAGCCTAAAATGTAAATAAAATACTTTTATAAAAGCTTACATGATTTTTAGTCAGTGAGGGTAATTTCTAAGATGTAAAAACACATGAGATTTGATGGTTTCTCTTTTGCAAAAGATCTACGCCTTTAGATTGTTATCTTAAAAAAGTACGTTTTACGCTTACAATTAAGTATTACTTTTAAACGTCTGGAATCAAACTTGTCACTGCTATGGTGTGCTTGAATTAGCAAAAAACGACCAAAAAAGATTTGATTTGAGATAAAAAGGKGAGAAAGTATTTTTTGCTAAAGGTAAGGTCCCTGAACTATTACTCTACGATAAAATAGAGATAACGTTAAGAATTGGGCAATTTATACTAAACCAGAAGTAGTCACGAAAGTTTACGATATGAATGCCACRGAGAGCGCTCCMAAAACATGAAAAAAAWWMC